ACAGTAGCTTCTCTGCTTTATCAGCCATAAGTCTGTTCCTCTTCTCATCAAGCACATGAGAGGCAGCGCTGAACAGTCTCTCGCTGTCAGTGCTTGTGATTTGATCTTACTCCGCATATTTGTCCGGGTGTTTTGATTTCAAGTGGTGGAGTAATCCCGAAGTGGTGAAAGTCTTTGCAGTTAAGGCGAAAGGGCCTTTTGAACCATTTTCGGCCGATAATTTTCGGCGGCCGAATATTCGGTGCATCCCTACATATAATACATATATACACACGATATAAGACTAATAGGAGACACAGAAAGCTAAATTACAGACATGTTCATTTATTATTCATAAAATAATATTTCACACTCAAAATGATCATTTGAGTAAATATCAATTAATGTCACTTTTAAATCTTGAATACATCTCACTACTTCCCCAAGCAAATGCATTTTCACAAAAGAATAATAAAGTAATGTCATACTTGCACAAACGAGAAGCATGCTTGCACAAATGTAAGTGCTTTAAATAATTCGGACTTTGAGAAAACACTCCTCATTTCTATAAATCATAGATGCCTGCCCAAGTGTTTTTATTCTTGCGAGAGAAAAAAAAAAATTCAGGGTCACACAGGGTGAGGAATTGATACACACTTTTACTTTAAAAACATTTAAAACACATCTAGGAGATACTAACCTCAATTTTGAAGAGCTCCCCTGCCCCTTCACAGTCATTTGAGGTGATGACTGGAGTGTGAATCTGCAAAAAGCCATTTTCCTGGAAAACAAAATATATACAAATAAACACAAACAGTCTCACTGCGTTCTGTTACAAACTCATCCACTGATGGTCTCACCTTGAAATACGAGTGAACAGCTGTAGTGGCCTCACTTCGTATTCTCAACAGGGAGCTAAAGGCATTTGTTCTACACCTGAGATGAGGAAACTGTCGAATATACTCAAGGCTGTGTCGTTCTTTGATTTTGAATGGAAACTCCTGAAGCAAAAAGACAAAGCAACACAATTGTGTTACAT